CTTAGTAAGACACATAATAAGGACACATAATGTTGAAATAAGGACTTATAAGACCCGTTCTGGAGGCCAAAATAAGACTTTTTTACCGACTATTAAAGTACACTAATAATATTTATATACACAATTGCACAGCAGATTTAATTATTCCGTATTATATATACAACAATTCTTACTCTAAGTCGAGAACAGTAAGTCGAAAAATAAGGACTATTAAGTACTTTTCTAAGAATTCACCAAAAATAAGTACTAATAAAGGTCCTTATTTTATTTTTGGCAAAATAAGTACTTATAAGACTTTGGAAGACCCGCTACGAACCCTGCTAACGCTAAAACATACCATTAATGGGGAATTTTATGGTGAATTTTAGCAAATAGAAACTTTGGAAATGGACCTATTATCACCATTTAGCAATTACACATTTTTATCATCTATTTATTTTTCTACAAGTGATTGCCACTGTTCTCTAATAAGATGCTAAAAACAAAGGTGGCTGTGAAATATTGCGTAACAGTTACGTTTCTATACATTCTATACAACCTGTGACATGTGTGAATAACTTGAATTGATAGCATTCTTAGGGGAACTTACTCCACTCCCAATGGCTGTTGGATTGTATGCCGGCTCCAGTCCTCTAGAACTTTTGATGACACCAGGTGGTGGTTGTCGTGGCTTATTCAGCAGCATGTTACAGTTGGCCACCATCGTGAGAATCGCCTCCGACAACTCCTGACTGACGTTGCTAAATCGCAAAATATTAATCAAACCACCACCTTACAACTTATCAGGAGTTAATAAAGACAAATTTGTCTTTATTAACTCCTGAACTTATGACAGTATTGAATGGACCAAAGATTTCTGGTAATAAACCTTCCGTAAAAGGTTCAAAGAAATTGCGTGTGAACAAACTATATTTATTGCATGTTCTGCTAATCAGGTTACACATCATATTCTGCAAATACCTGTAGACATGCAAAATTTTCCTTAAAAAAACTTTTTTTACTAAAATCTTTTTCAACTAGACCATGTACATTAAATATGCAGGTTCGCGAATAGGGAAAACCCTTACCCTGCGCATGCCTGTAGACAAGCGAGCATGGTTCCGAGCGTCTCGGGTGGAAGCTGAGCACTCTTAGGTAATGCATCCTCTTTCATCGGACCGCCCAAGATCGATGGGCAGCGGCGTTTCAGGAAAGCTACGCACGCCTCAATGAAGGGTTCCTGTGTAGCGCACGCAAGTACACAATGTGATTTAATACTCTTTCAGTTCTACGTCACTAATACTATAACACTACTAATACTATAACAAAGCTCTCGTCTCTTTGTCAAGGGTAATAGTAAAGAACAAAGAGGCATATTTTATCACTGCATTGTTCGCCACATGGATCGCAACTAGGAGGCGTTTCTCTGCATGTGTATACCCTATTGTAGTTGCCCCGGCGACTCCATGCAACTGGTGTTCACTAATTACCTGGTGTTCACGCATTGACTGGTGTTCACGAATTACTTGGTGTTCACGCATTGACTGGTGTTCACTAATTACCGGGTGTTCACGCATTGACTGGTGTTCACAAATTACCTGATGTTCACGAATCTTGTCCGTCAGCCACTTGTCCAGCTTCAGATACTCCCGTCGGGAGGCAAGACATGCTAGATCGATCACAAATGCAAACGGGGTAGCATTCAGCAGCATCGACAGTGCCTGAAACAAACACGCACTCGTCAGACTCTACCAAGAATACTCACAGCTTCAATACGTTCATAAAAGAATATACATAATGTATGGTCTCGATTAAAGAGACATCGTACAAACGATTGATAAACAAATCGTTGCTCACGAGCAAATCCAGTACTATGGCGTACATGTTAAATCTGTGAGGTGAAGAGAGTCGTCAAGCATTACCTTGAGATCTTGAGCCACGTCAAGTATCCGTGAAAGTCGTGACTGGTCGCCGTACCAGTACGGCATGTACCAGTCTGCCATCGCACGCATGATCAACGTCCTGATGGTGGTGGACTGTCCCTGTAACAACACATGAAACAATAAAAAACCAAACAATTTATTCAACCAAGCCTTGTATTAGTTGAAGAGCCAGAAAACTTCTAGAAAAAGCTTCTACTTCATGTTCACAATAGCAGTTTATATATAAAAATTAAATTTAAATTATAGTCGCTCTAACCTAGCATAAAGTGTATTCCTTTGCTAAGTTAAGGATACACTCAAGCTTTTGCACGGGTATTGCTCCAATGAGGAGTAAACGTTTATTGAGGAAGGAATCGAATCAATCACGTTTTATTGATAGGTTATATCATTGCTGTATCGTGCCCTATTCTAAGACACGACACACAGCGGCCATAAACACTGATTTGTGTGACGATGACGTTATAACAAATTGGTCGAGTCATAAAACAACTTTGTCGGAACTGTAGCAACATTATAACGAAACAACGTTGTCTGGGGCAAGGTTAACTTGAGAATATCTATAAAACTTCAACGATGAAGGTATGAGCAAAGTATAATTAAACATGAGCAATCACAACTGGACATTCATTACCTGACAGTGCCATGCGTAGTGTAGGATGATAGCTGAATTGGCATGATTTCCGAGGAAGATTGTCATCAGGCTAGTGATGAGCTCCCGCCGTAGGTGGTTGATTGGTGGCTGGGTACATTAAAGATGCGCAATTTCAACAGCAGAATAGAATGAACACTACAACAGTTCAAGTAATATTGGAATAAAGGATAGCTCAACTTGACTGGGGTCAGCTACATCCAGAAATGAGTGAGGGAGAATAAACCAATCCATACAAGGCTACCACTATAGCCCACCAAGTTTGCTACCGTGATTATTAAACATCATAATAAAAATGAATGTGTCAATGACACTATAGCTCACCATGGGTGTGATAGAAGAGGGAGATGATATTTAAAATTTGGCAAGTGTTTCATTTACGACAGACCGAATTGTGATCAAATGTCCTTATTCCCTGTTTTATGCTAATAGAAATTTCACTGTTTTGTTTCAGGGTTAATTTTGATGCGAAAATAAATGTTTCAGATCTGGAAGTCTGAAATCTGGGCGAGAGATGGCGCTACGCCTAAATGCTCGCCATTTTGGTTTTCGATTATCGCGCAAAAAAAGCAATAAAATATTCCAGTCAAATTTCTGTAATGAAGAATCTAAAACACAATATTACACGTAGGTATGATTAGGTAAGTAGGTAGGTAGGTAGGTAAATTTAACAAAATCGAATGAATCTAGATGGCCATTTTTATTTTTGCCAAAAAGTTGGCGTGGCTCGAAAGTAGGTCAACTGGCGTGCCCCAAAATAGGACGTTCACATCTCTCCCATAGGAGTAACAACTGTATGCAATTTGAAATCGTTGTTATCGTTGACCGTAGCCGAATGTTGACGGACGGACGGACAGACGTACGATGGACGACGCCCCATGGCAATAGCTCATCTTGACTATGTCAAGGTGAGCTAATTAACAAAAATCATATAATGTATTTCAGGTGTTAAAATTTAGAAAAAAACTGCAACTTTGCTTTCAGAAACAAAGAGAGGCCAAACTACTTTTCTGTAGGAGCTCTAGGATATCCTGCAAAAATCATTAGCAAGGTGCACAAGAGCCATTTATACCCACAGGGTCATGTGCTACCATTCAGCAAGGTATGCCAATAGGAAGGTTAGACAGCATAACAGCAAAACACCGAGTGAATAGATGGAAAAAAAATTATTTTCCACCAAAACAAACATAGTTACTCGCACTCTTTCGACAGCAGATATGCTTGTCCCGAAAAAATTGAAACTATCATTAATGACCCCTGCTGTATTGTATCAGAGACAGCAGTTACTTACACTGATCTGCAGAAGAGCAAGGACGAGAACGTCTGGACAGTGCTGTACCGGAAACTTAAACAGCTCTTGTGTATGAGCATAGTACAGATCAGACAGGAACAGCAGTGTCTCAACCATCTCCAGTGATTTCCTACAAATACAGAGGTAATTAGCACAAAAAACAAACGTACACAAAAACGTGCACGACTCGTGCAAAACATGGCTCATCAATCCAGAACACGTCTACTTAAAATGCTCCGTTACACGGTGTTACGCTGACTGTCATAATTTGTATTCTACAATAAACTTCTGCTCCTGTCGTTTACTTGCGATTTTGTTATTTACCAAGTAGCGATATCTCTGTTGTCTTCATCTGGTGGGGCCTTCAGAATGTCGATGGCAACACAACGGCATGGATAGTCAGCAAAGCAGAACACATCAGAGTTCTTTAGTGCCTGTCAAACAATTACATACGATTAACACGTTTTACTGGCATTATACGATCCGTAAACATTGTATTAAGGCAATAACCATGGTAGAGGTGTAACGATAAACTAGGCTCACGACACAACACGTATCTCCATACGTAGGTCATGATACGATACGTATCGCGATACACACACAGAAAGATAACATATAACCTAATAAAGATTAGTCTTCAAAGTCCAAGGGACTATATCGAATCAATGGACTATATCAAAGACGGAAAGAGACAAAGTTGATCAAATAGACAGATTAGATCACACCCCTAAACCATGGTATTAGTACTATTCCTCTGACATCCACTTGTATAGTACACTCACACTGTCATCGCAATGTCACGACAACTCACTCACCTGTTGGAACCAGGAATGCTGTCCTTCAGTGTTCTTCCACTTGCGATAGAGCAGTTCTATTGGAAAAGCCATCTCCCTTAGACCACGGAATATCGCCTGGATGATGATCTTGAAGCCCTGCTTGTCCTTGATGGTGAAGCCAGGATGATCTAGCTCAAACACAACCTCCCGCCAGTTCATGTGAGGATTCTAGAGATGCAGGAACAATAACGATCTATACTCGTCGATGACAATGAAAACGATAAGATTAAGATAAGAATATTTAATTACTTCTATGGATTAAATGCGATTATTGGCTTCTGCATATAGCTATCTACTGTCTTTTTTGTTCAAAGACCAATTTTGCTCTAAATACAATTGTGAATCCCAACCGTTTATCCATTCTGTGAAGCTACATTCGCCATACCTAAAATTAATCAGTACTAACAAAAAATAAACAATAAAAAACATGGAATAAAAATTATATAGATTACGTAAATAATCACATACCGGTGTACATAACAACAACCAAATTAAATTTAGATTATCGTTATAAAATAAGTATATATAAAGAATTATACATCTGTGTCCATAATAGAATTTAATAATTTGTAAATTTGCTATGCAGCATTCCGAATGAATCAATCCTAGCACCCCTGCGCTATTGGCAATCCTTCGATTCTACCGAACACACACACACACACACACACACTCTAGACCAGTGGCTCTTAACCTTATTTGAGTCATGGACCCCTTTGAGAATCCGGTGAAAGCTACGGTCCCCTCCCCAGAAAAATGCGCATAAGCAAATAAATACAAAATTTTGCATGTGCCTGGTTCATGCACCCCCTAAAGCCCATCCACGGACCCAAAACGGTCCATGGACCACAGGTTAACAACCCCTGATCTACAAGAACGACTTGACGTACGATTTCCTGCACGACTTGCACAAACACATCGACGTTCCATGTTGTCATCAGCGCGCCCTCATGCTTCTCCTTCGTGTCGCTCCAGATGCCAGCGGATGACGTTACTGGCTGCACCGGCACCGGATCCTCTAGACCTGACGCAAGCAGAAAGCAACAGAGCCTCAGTAGAAGCACGTCGATCAGTGCTTACACGCATGCAGAAAGCAACAAAGCCTCAGTGGAAGCACGTCGATCACTGCTTACACGCACGCGACGATCAAGTGCCACGCGCAATAGTACACACTCGAAACTATTCGAGGTGAAAGTTACTGAATACGTCACGAATTTTCTATGGTGTTTATTTGTAAAATGTTTGTTTCAATTCTAAATGTATCTTCAAATTCTTACCTGATAAAATTGTTTTTCAACTAGTTAAAAATCCGAAAAAATCTGGACGATTCGATATATATTGATCACGACATTAAATGCTTGCTATTTGCTATCTATTAGTCATGAGTGTTTGTTCACATCGAACGGAATAGCAAAATAAGAAGTATAATGCAGCAATTTACACATAAAAAGTAAACAGGATCACTTACATTTTGTGAAAAAGTGGACATGATTTTTTTTACTTTTACTATTTACGGTGACATAACCACTTTCAACGCCACGAGTTACCAGCTGCGCATTCTAATGTAAATGGCTCAGAGGCCTACGGGTGAGTACCAGAGTGAGTGCGAGCCATCATGGCAAGCACACGCGCGACCGACGCTGGCGTCACATCGTGTATTCCAAACTGAAGCAGACTCGCACGACATTCTTCGATGTTGGCTGTGAAATTGTAGCCGACTTCATGTATTAAATCTGCTAGGTTTCCATCCATCTGAAATACAGAGTACAACACGGTTTACGCCCGGTTGGCCTACTCGAATTTCGCCTACGGCAAAATTCCCATTTCATCTATAGCAAAACTCCCAGTTGGCCTACACCCATTTCGCCTACTCCCAATTCGGCTACACTAAAAATCCACCTTATTTCAATTTTGTCTACCATCAGTTTGTCCACTAAATAATCATTTATAAATGTAATATATGGTTTGGATTAGCATACATATTTAGACTAGACAGAGTGGCATCCACACCAATTTCTACTGGTATTTGTTGTAATATCAATACTACGACGAAATATCACTATTGCCAATTCTGAGAGTAGATGAAATGGGAGTAGGCGAAATGGGAAGTAGGCGAAATGGGAAGTAGGCGAAATGGGAAGTAGGCGAAATGGGAGTAGGCGAAATGGGATGTTACCCTACCTACAACACAGGTATGTACGTTACCTGTTTTAAACTGAATAAATACAGAGGAAATATCTACGACGAGGATTCACCTTCACCATGTTCAATGAACTGCATGTACAAAATATGCATTCTAGCAGCTTGTACCAATAAACTATCTGGGAATAGGTTTTTTTAATGACCAACACATTTCAAATTTAAGGAGAATAGATGTACTTCCAGGGCCTACCATTATTGCAGTACTGATTATATAACTATCCATGCATCTATAAACCTATGTACTTCATAGTGTAACTATGTAGTCCTAAATTATTCTTGCTCATCGCAGTTATCATATTATTTACTACACGAGTTGCTCACCAGCGTTTTTGACATGCTTCCGCTCTCAGCCAGAATCTTGTCCACTTGCACGTCTAAACTGTCAGGGTACAACAATGGCGCAAGTACCACTGGCACCCTGTCCTTGGGGAAATCTGTAGAAAATAATAGGATAGGTGTTTTTTTACACGAAGACAAAAAGTGCATAAAAAATCACTCGTGAATCCTCCTTCTTGCAAATGCAACTTAATTTACCTAGTTCTCACGCGCAAACGCATGCTATAAACTTATTTTTAAACACTGGCTCCAAGAGCGATAAAGATGATCAGTAACAAATCAAATCTAGTCCACCTTTCCGAAGACTGAGGAGAAATGCTTCAATCTGGTCCAATCCTATTCCAAAATGGTCCTTCGATCCGTGGATTAAATTTTCGAGGATCAGGTGCAGCACCTCAATCGAAGTATCATTCAGACCTGATTCTTGGTTGTTACTAGAATCTGAAATGAATACACGATCCTTAATATAAATTTCTTAATACGTAATACTGAATATTTCCACCTTCAAGAAAGTGAAATTATATTTATATATTTTCATTTATATATATATTTATTATTATATTTAATTCACATTTATTCAGCATGCAAAGTTAAGCTTCTTTGTTTGGTAATCATACGGTTTACTACATTCAGTAATCTGGTAGTCTGTGAGCAATTCTGTTAGTTCCGATTTTTAGTATTCCGTGAGTTTTGCCAAAACGTGTGAAGTCCGTCTACGTCATAGCATAAGCAACAACCATCATTAGATAATAGATTAAAAAATCCCTGTATCTTCATCTAATCTGCACTGCACTTGTGATTACCCAGACGATAGAGATCCAGAGATCATCCAGAGAAATAGAAAAACAAATGAAAAATGACAAATCTATGTAATGCAATACCTGAATTGACAAATGACCTCAAAAGATCCGGTAACTTCTGTTTGACGTATTGTAGAGCGTGGTTTCGCGTTTCCGGGTTAGTTGAATTGAGCAGTCCCAAGCCGAAGGCTACCTCTTGAACACGCGATAGGCTTAGTGTCTTGCTCAGATAATAGAAGAGCTGCGGCGATGGCTTCAGTGACTGCAAGGAAACGTTCTTATAATAATTAACGTTTTCAATTCAAATGGATACTCATAGATTTGGTAGCTCTCACGAATATTTACTAACTGTCATGAAGTTTAATATTAGGGTAGACAATTCTAATTCAGAAGAAATTTTAGTTATTTGAGACCTCCATCGGGGTTTTTAAAGCCTAGGTTAAAACTTGGTTTTCTGCCTTATGCAGATACACAATTTGGTAGCTCTCACGAATATTTACTAACTGTCATGAAGTTTAATATTAGGGTAGACAATTCTAATTCAGAAGAAATTTTAGTTATTTGAGACCTCCATCGGGGTTTTTAAAGCCTAGGTTAAAACTTGGTTTTCTGCCTTATGCAGATACACAATTTGGTAGCTCTCACGAATATTTACTAACTGTCATGAAGTTTAATATTAGGGTAGACAATTCTAATTCAGAAGAAATTTTAGTTATTTGAGACCTCCATCGGGGTTTTTAAAGCCTAGGTTAAAACTTGGTTTTCTGCCTTATGCAGATACACAATTTGGTTATGCATGTCAGCATTTACATGTTTGGTTTAAACTGATTATTACGAGATTTTTACCCAGAAAAACTATATAAGAAAGAAAAAGAATATAGCTGAATATAGTCTCACCTGACAGTGGAAATATCACTGATTACACCCACATTAAAAACACTAAGATTTTATGCAGTTATAGCACAGAAAAATGGATTTGACCACATCATAACAGCAATAAATTTTATCGTATGCCGAGTCCGACTCACGAAATCACAAATAGCGCCTTCAAAACAAGTGCACATAATTAAAACAAAGGAGCATGTATTTGTGTGTGCATGTAAATCAAACAACCATGGAAGCAGTAGGGCGTGTACTTTGGAGTTCAGAGAAGAAGAGAAGACGTTTTTGGTCAAAGCAGAGCTATGTGAGTTGGAAAGGGTTCCGAATGAGCCTTGGCGATCAGTTTCTTTACCGAGCATCAGTATTACACTCCCCGTACGCTAGTCTGAACCTCTGCGTTTACACTCGGACCAAAACTGCCGCGGTGCGACTATTTTATACTGCACCCGGGTCGATGTCTCGCGCTCACCGCGAGAAAGTCCGAGAGATGGTAACAGAAACGAAATCAGTAAACAAAAGTTGTACTTGTAATCGTGCATATTATGGTGAATACGAATGTTCTAAGAAATTTTATCGTTACTCTAGACAATTGCTGTTACTCAAGCAAGAACGGTAAGTATCATGAACAGTGGGGAAAACACTGGAAAACTCTCGTAACAATTACTTTAAACATAGTAGTTTTGTACAAGAAACAACCTGTTATACGAACCTGTATTGAGTTAAATCATAGTAAATATATATATAACAAAATACTCACTTTTTGATGTTGTAGTGGGTTATCAACAGCAAAGCACAAATTGGTCAAAAAATTTGGCTTGGATATCAGCGATGCGCACTCATGGATTAGATACTGTACCTGAAGAAAACACAACCATAAAAATTTCAGGAAAGCTATATTTTTAGACTTTCAATCTATTTATGCTACCTTGCATACACATACTAACAAGAGCTAATAAATACCTAGAGTGTACAACGAAAAAACGGGAAAATAGTGCTATTTCACGGCAATGTTAATCTATTTTGCCTGCGAGTCTAGAATAATTTTATGGTATTGCATTAAGCAGAATTCTTTGCTCTCTAAAACAAGACCAACCGCTTGTCAATACGATACTCCTAGGCTGAGATATTGCTCGTAAACTTCCCCTCCCACAGGCCTCACAGCGCCTCGCATCCACAATATTCACTACCCTTCTCGCCTTTCGCGGGTTAGGAAAGTCGCTTCGTGAGTTCGGTTTTTTCCGCGATAACTTTATGAATGAACGGCGTTTCGGTTATCATCGGTGACTTTTGTGGACATCGCCTATGCCCCTATCTCCCATTATCTTTCCTAGCACCTATGTTAACTAATTATTATTATTATTAATGTTTATTAATGTTTTCTAAATTAAGTCTCTACAACGCAGCACAGTTACTATAAGGTATAGTAAGAGTACCAACTTTGGGCATGTGACATCAATTATCAGCGCTCCAAGCGGCGACGAAAAACGATAGCCAGACCCGCAGAAGGCGAGAAGGATAGTGAATATTGTGGATGCGAGGCGCCGTAAAGCCTGTGGGAGGGGAAGTTTACGAGCCAATATCTCAGCCTAGGAGTATTGTATTGACAAGCGGTTAGTCTTGTTTTAGAGAGCAAAGAATTCTGCTTAATGCAATACCATAAAATTATTCTAGACTCGCAGACAAAGTAGAATAATATTGCCGTGAAATAGCACTGTTTTCCCGTTTTTCCGTTGTACACTCTAGGTGTTTATTAGCTCTTGATACTAAGTAACCACAGTGACATCTAGGAAAAATTGATAAAAATTGATACTTACCATTCATTACAGCACATATGTAACATAATAATTGATCTGTTTATTTACCTACATTCTACTGCACAACATTGGTGCACACTAACTGCTGTTTTACTATAAACAACACTCCTGAGTCGCAAATAGGTAATTTACCACTCATACAAAATCTACATGTCACGTTCGAATCAATGCATTATATATACATATATGCATAATAAGACGTTATATAGAGAGGCCATAGTATAGACTGTCCATGTTTAATTTCTAATCATTTTGCTGATTTTTGATCAGTAATCTGTAAGAAAATACGAGTAAAAACAATGCCAAAATGTTGCCACAAGCTGACTTACATTGGTGCGTTTTAATTGTTTTCTTGAGCCACTTTGTGTTTAGCAGAAAACGTGTTTTAAACTGGAGTACCACTAACATATATATCAAGAGTAGATAATAACACAAGAGTGAGACAACCGATTCCCGCATTTTTAACCGTTTTTTCTCATCAAAATTTGCCACCAATTAACGAGCACAGTGTAATACGTTCCTCAGCTTATCTTATGACCAATAATCACTCACGCTTCAAGGTAACTGATATTCCGTTTTACATATATCTTGCGTAAAGCGTATTGATGGTAAATCGTAATCTATGCCACGAGCTGAAATTCGATAAATTTAACCGCGCTAAAAATGGCGACTTGTTACCGAGCTGTTCTAGACATCTATTAGAGAGCCTAGTCAGGTTCACTATTTTTTTTGTTCAGAAATTATGTAGATTAGCAAACCGTATACATTTCTTGGAAAGGTCAGTAGCATGAGGAATCCGAAAAACAATTCACATTTCGCGGAGAACTCGGTATGCGCCATTTCTTGTTTCTAGAAATGGCCGCCATAAATACGATATTTAGCCGTATTTTCTGCCTCTAATCACCCTAAAACTTTTAAATATGCTAAATCCTATGCTTTTCAGTGGACAAGGAATCTATTGGTGACATAACCACGACATTCTAACTGTAAACACTTGTATGTTTTTAGAAATATTGTCAATAAACAAACAAAAACCATTAGTACGATATAGCATATATTAAACCCGTTCACTGCGGGTCTCGCCGTGGCGGAACATCGTGCAAGGACTTGATTCATAGCTGCTGCAGAAGTTGCAACATGAAGTGGCCTACCATGCTTGACTGCTCATTCTGCACAGGCATCCGAATCTGCAATGACGTTGGTCGTTCGCGTGAACGAATACCCGAACAGTGATTTCGTATCGACATGAGCACTGCTACGAGAAGCGTAGTGCCAGTTACTGGATTCAAGACTTGACTCTGTAAAGGGGGCAGTTGCCCGAGACTGGGTCAGCTACATGCTGGTCGATGGCTGCGCTGCGAGACGATCTGGAAACGTTCCATAGAACTCACAGAAATAGATGATGGGTGGATTGAGGCCTGACGATATACGGCTCGCACAACCAGAACAAGCATGCACTCAAGTCGCCGCTGCACTAGCAAGAGAACTCTCGTGTCACACATACCACATCTCTAGTATGGCTCTATAATAAACTTGTCCTGCGGAACAGTTCCTTCACAGAGAAGCCCCAACGCTTTAAAGCCATTTGCGTGAACCAGCAGATAAGGTCCAAGGAAGCTTGAACGCCAAAATCAGCAGTCGATCAGAAAGCCTCAAATCCAGGAATGCGTTGTTACGAAGTGACCCAAGACGACTCTACTACAACCATCAACAGCTGCAAATGTGAGAAGCGCAGAAATCCCTCAATGCATGTTCAAACTTTTTGATGAACCTAGATCCACCGGATTTGAACCCATCTGCACCTTTGATGAGGCATTCCCCAAGGAATTCCATCATGCGTCTCCACGGCTTCAAGCTGGGGAGCACTTAAGCAAGTTATTCTTCGGCCATGGATCGACATAGAAATACATAGCGCCGACTGGCCACGTATACAATCGCAGACATGCATGATGCAGGACAAGCCATGCAACCTGGCCGCTGAACTGTCAATAGCGGAAACTTATTGTGACCAAGAGTATCGATTCCATTTTGTCCTGCTGATTTGGAGCAGATCACGCATCTGCCGACATCAACAGACGATGATAAAAGATACAATTCGCTGGATATAATTGACATTCTCCAATAATGCCAACCGCTCGGCGCAACGGTTGCACTTCTTTGGCCACTCCTGAGATGTCAACGTCTTTTCAGCCTAAAGTTAATGGCCAATCTCAATCTTGCTGCTTAGACAGACCCAGCCAGAGAAGCATGATCATCATGTTCAACCAAGATGCTGTGAGGAACAGCGCATGATAACGTTGATCGCATGAAAGGCTGCCATACTGATACCACGAGCATCCCTCTTGCGCTGAAGGTGGACCAGCCTCTAACAACTCTATCCAGCACAATACATATGTCTCACAAGAGAGTGTCTCCCCCCCCCCCACAGATCTGATACGCGCGACACTGGGCAAAGCATCGTATGTGGAATTACGTTGGGCAGAACGCAGCTGGGATGAAATGGAGATGTCAGTCCTCTGGCACCGTCCAAGAAGCAGAACAAACAGGCGTGTACATGATCACGGAAGACCAAGACAGCAAACGGTAAAGATCCCGATGACCAGTCGGCTAGATCTAAAAGAACAAAAGATCTGTACCGTCGGTGATGTACTGGCGCAGATCAAATGCCGTGAACATCGATCAGAAGCATGCGATTGGGACTCACAGCAGGTCACTCTACCAGCCCCAGCACTGGTTTGCGCACTCGACCGGTTCGATCCTACGACTTAACTGAACAAGTCAAAGCTATATCCATACGCGCTTGACAACTTTGGTAAAACCCAACAGAAACTCAGTGCTGATGTACAGAAGCAGCAGAAGCCGGATCAAACAGGCCTAACTGATAATTGCTGATACAGGAACGGCACATCTCATCCACCACTCCTACCGAAAATTGTTTTGTGTGTCGGAATGGTACTCGTCCACGAAGTATGACAAAGAAACCAGAGACATATCCAACCAACAGTCAAAATATCTCTGTCATCATTTCAACGACCACCTATGAAGCATCGACAGCAGGAACTCGACGTGATATCCTGGGGTGTTGAGACACAGAACAGGCAGAGCAGACTTCATTTAAAGCAGAAACTAACGACAAAGCAAAGGACCCTGTGCAATACCAGATTGCAGATAGATACAACCATCAAACATATACGCAATGGGCCGCTTCCTATTTCAGCGAATAGAACGAAAGCTGATATACCATCTAACCTTGCTGGAGGCACATCTTGGAATATAACGTAAACTCTCCATAAGTTAATCATCACGATACAGCATCGCGATGCATACTAGAAGCAACACAGAAGCATGCACATGTTTGAACGCAAACAACCACGAGGAAGCCTGACAGCATTGAATGCCATGGCGTATATCAAGGTATGCGTGGAGGTAGGCACCCATCTGGCAGGAGCGGCTAGAAGAGACCAAGAACAACAGCGTATACTGATCGTCATTCACGCATTCACTGGGCAGACACATGGTCCGGTCGATCTCAGGAGTAAGGTAAAAACGAAATGCGTTATCAGCACTACATCCAAGCTGAAAGGAACACAGTCAAAGCACTAATAAACTACTAGACGAGGACGACGATCTAATGACAGGACGTGACAAACATAATTGGCCAGCTTTGTAATGCTTAGACGTACTGCCGCAAAAGTATTCAGATTCGCATAAGTATCCCTAAGATCAGCCTCATATTGGCAATCGTTTGGCAGAACATCCGGACAGGAAAAGTAAACAAGTTGCCTCCAACATACTGGTGCCCACTTGAGAGCATATGCGAAACGTGTGCCAATACAGAGTAGCAGTCTTGGGTGACAGGCAACCGTCATGTGCGCAACAGCTGTTCGACACCACACAACATGCTAGCCGATCAGGGAGCGAACAATCACCATACTACCTCATCACTACACCCAAGTTCTACCAGCACCGACAGTCAATATAGCTAAAAGCTAATTGCTCAACCCAGAGGAGCTCATGTAGAAGAGAATGACAATTAAACTTGCACCGACCTTGCTTGTGTGGAACGGACTGTGAAAACGAATGCGGGACTGTATTGTCGGCTATGACAGGCGAGGACAGCTGAAGATGAACTCTTAAAATGGCATATTCTGTAAATCATGGTGGTATGTTTACAGCACTGCCCAGTGTATGTTATGCTTCGTTTACTATGCCTATATAGTTTTGATGCCTGTCTAAGATGAATGAGAGGATTGACACATGTCTTGACGGTTATGTAACACTGTCCTGTAAGCAACATGTGATTTCATCTATTGGCACTTATTCGGGAATTAAGACAGATTTGATGTTAAAATCTTTGATTTTTGTATTACTGTTCTCCATACACTATTCGATAGCTTTCAGTTTGCGATTCCTTGGTCCTGAAAACATAGGAATAACCATATTTAAAAAAGTTTTTTAGGGTATTAGAGCAGAAAATACGCTAAATATGTATTTTATGGGCGCCATTTTGAAAATCCAAAATGGCGGCCATCCGTATCTCCGCAAATGTAAAACATTGTGTTATTTCGGAATCCTTCATAGTATAAACCTTATCCAAAAATGTCATAGATTTGCCTAATCTACCAGTAATTACTGGAAACGGAAACTTAATTTCATTGACATAGTGAACCTGACAAGCTAATCGCGTGCGCCAATATCTTGTAGCAACGGCAACGGTTTCAAATCATGCGTGCCCCGGAATAGCGGTCTTAATTCTACTTGATACCTGCCGCTCCGTAAGTGATACTTACCTGCAACTTACTTAACAGAGAATATTGTTGATTATTGTATGTATTACTGTATGTAAGATTGTAGTATGTCAATTTCTTGTGTTGCGATCACAATAACTGAGCGCGTCTCGCAGGTTCTTCACGAGATCAAAATTCGAAATTTAGATTGTCTCTCAACCCTATCGGGGCACGAATGATTTGGAAACCGTCCGTTGCTAAATATTAGCGCCCCGATAGCTTCTAAATAATGGCTAAACAGGTCACAACAACAGCGGTAAATCGTGCGAATTGAGCTCGTGCAAGATTACGATTTACAGCAATACGCTAGCAAATATATGTAAACGAATATCAGTACCATGAAGGTGAGTGATTAGTGGTCATAATAAGCTGAGGAACGTATACACTTGCTTCTTTATTGGTGGCAAATTTTGATGAGAAAAATCGGTTAAAAATGCGGGATCGCTTCTTTATTGGTGGCAAATTTTGATGAGAAAAATCGGTTAAAAATGCGGGAATCGGTTGTCTCACTCTTGTGTTATTATCTACTCTTGATATATATCTCATGTTATAGCTTACGTGCCAACAAGCATTTACCTGAATTACAGTGATTATGCAACGAGATGAAACACTGACTCAGCGTCATTCTAAGCCTGGTATAAATCTGTGATTCCTAGGTGATTCCCACTCACCTGATTAAAGTCCTTTCCAGTGTTTTTACCATCACCATTAACCTCAACGTAGGAAAAGAGACAGCGCAGCAGATGTCTTTCTGCCTCTTGTCCGTGTTGTGCAACAATCTACAACAAGAAGAAGATGAAATTCGACAATTAATAAATATTTTAGCAGGGTGCGAAATTAACGAGAGTCCGGAGTCAAATACTCCCCGATTTAATGTCGGACTCCCTGATTTGACATAATTATGCAGGAGTCCATGTGACTCCCTGAAAATTCTGCCATTCTAACTAGTTCGTTCCAGAGCACAACCTCGCGGAATTACCGTATTTTTTCAGTAAAAGTCCAAAGAAAATTTGGCAGGCGTGTAACCGCATGAATCTTCAAAATAAGCACATGCGTTATTGTTAATATCTTTAATTTTGAACTTCAGACTGCGGACTCCCTCATTTTGCTGCGAACTCCCTCTTTTTGAGGGTAGGGAGTCCGTTGGACTCCCGTGTTCAAAAGTGAATTTCTACCCCTGTTTTAGAAAGCCGACACACTTATATACTCAACTACAATATATAATATCAGTAACTGATTATGAAAAAACACTACAATTTTAAAATAACAAATTTCAAACTTCATTAATAAAGCACATATTTCATTGGATAAACTACTAATTCATTCCACACACAAAATGGATATAAGTATGTTTTAATGTGATAAAAATAGCAGAAGCGATTTCCACAGAACATATTATGTTCAATGAAAGAATTAAATATCAAACATTTATGAATGAAACAACTTAAAAAAGTAATGAATGTAAAAAAAGAATAAAAATAACCCTACATTGGTATATATATCCTTATATTACTTACACTTAGAGCTGTAGTTAGGGTAAAATTAATCTACACATTAAAGTGTCTACGTCACGAATCTCCAGAAATTATTTTTAAAAATATAGTTGAAACCTTATTTTTGTAATTTTTTTACATCAAAATTTAGTACTAACGTTACTAAATATATCCTCAAACTCTCACCTGATAAAAATGTTTTTACGTTGGTTAAATTTGCAAAAATCTTGACCATTTGAATTAGTGTTGTCTAACACTATTTACATAGTACTGGCGTCTCTCTGTTGCTGTACTGGTTGCTGTGGTCGATGTCATCGTGATTTGTGTATGGTGCACAAAGTAATGCCCAAACAGTTTCTGTTTTGATTTGTGTTAGCTATATAGAGTATACAATATAGGAAAAATAAATAATATATGTTCATGTGTATTATGTTTGAAAAATTATTATTAAAACTGCGAAATGTTATTTGTGTTTTATTTAATTTCTGCCAACAAAAATGTTTGTGACATCCCCTTCAGGAAAGATAAGAGGCTAGATCAACTAAACGATAAACAATGGTGGGCAGACCAGTGCATCAGAAAGAAAACGAAAGAGAAAAAAGCAGAAAGAAGATTATATGAGAAACTCCCGCTTAAGTTTACAAGGAATTTCCATGGCTGCCACAATAATTTTGCCAATGCCTCGTTTACCGCAGATGTTTGCTATATCGGCTAGCTGCGTCTGGGCGCCACACAAGAATTTCGAATTAATGGCGGTTGTTGTTGTGTCGAGCGTTTGGTTACATCGAATGCACCGGCAAATTAGGGAGTATAAAGAAGGTATATAAGCATGAAAAGTTAACAGAAACGCTAATTGTATTTTCATACATTTGATTTTGTACAAATAACACAAAAATATACTACTTGCTGGTGCTCGAAATTCGTGACGTAGACAGTTTAAAGTGATTACGTCACAGTAAATAATAAAACGAAACAAAATATTTCCACTTTTTCACAAAATGCAAGTAATTCTGTTCACTTTTTATGGTTAAATTGCTGCATTATACTTCCTATATATTCCTATATTGTTCGATGTAAACATACACTCGTGACTCATACATAGCCCATAGCAAGCAATTAATGTCAGGATAATAATATCAAATCGTCCAGGTTTTTTGGATTTTTAAGCAAGTTATTCTTCGCCATGGATCGAATAAAATACAAGCGCCTCTGGCCACGTTACATCGCAGACATGCATGAGTTGAGGACAAGCCATGCAACCTGGCGTGAACTTCAATACGGAAACTTATCTGTGACCAAGAGTACGATTCCATTTGTCTCGATTGGAGCAGATCACGCATGTGAACAACTCAACAGGATGATAAAGATACATTCTGGATTAATTGACATTCCCAATAATGCCAACGCTCGTCAACGGTTCTTCTTGGCCACTCCTGAGATGTCACGTCTTTCAGCTGAATTCAATGGCCAATTCAATCTTGCTGTAGACAAGCCACAAGAGCATCATCATGTTCAACCAAGTGCTGTGAGGAAAGCGCATGACAACGTTGATCGCATAAAGGCTGCCATACTGAGTCACGGCAATCCCTTTGCTGCTGAAGGTGACCAGCTCTACAACTTCATCACACATACATATGTCTCACAAGAGAGTGTCTCACAGATCCTGAATATCGACGACACTGGGCAGAAGCTGTATGTGGATTACGTTGCAGAACGCATGAATGGAGATGTCAGCCTCTGGGCACCAGTCAAGAAGCAGAACAACAGGCTGTACATGTCAGGAAACAAGAAGCAAACGGTAAAGATCCGTGACCAGTCGGTAGATCTGAAAGAAACAAAAGATCTGTACGGTCGGTTGATGGTACTAGCCAGATCAAGCCGTGACATCGATCAGAAGCATGCGATTGGGAACTACGAGTTCACTCTTACCCCCAGAGCACTGTTTGCACTCGACGGTTCGATCCTACCATGTACTGACAAGTCAAAGCTTATCCATAGCCTTGACAACTTTGGTAAAACCACAGAAACTCATGCTGATGTACAAGCAGCAGAAGCATCAGAACAGGCTAATGATATTGCTGATACAGGAACGCCATCTACATCACCATCTACGAAAATTGTTGTTGTGGATGGAATGGTACTCGTCCAGAAGATGACAAAGAAACCAGAGACAATCACCACAGTCAAATATCTCGGTCATCATTTCAACGACCACCTTATGAACATGACAGCAGGATCCGACGTGATTATCCTGGTGTTGGACACATACAAGGCAGACTCATTTAAGCAGAAACTACGACAAGGCAAGGACCCTGTTCAATACCAGATTGCAGATGATACAAACATCAAACATATACCAATGGGCCGCTTCCTATTTCACGAATAGACGAAAGCTGATATAACCATATACCTTGCTGAGGCAACACTGGAATATAACGTAAACTCTCCTAAGTTAATCATCACGTCAGCATCGGGTTTGACCCAAACAACCACGAGGAAGCTGACACATTGATGGCCATGGTATCAGGTATGGTGGAGGTAGGACCCATCTGGAGA